ACTTGACAGTTTGATCCCACGGTCTCTGCCACTTTAAAGGTTCCCTGTGGACCACTTTGGACTAAATAAGTGTCTCATCGTGTGCATGTTGCAGGATCACAGCCACATGCATGACAGCTGTCACCATGGGCATCAAGGCCATTCTCACAGTCATGGGCCAAGACCGGCTGGATTTGGAGGGATGGTGAATCCATTCATGCCGGGTTTTTACGGACAGTTCGGCAAAACTGCAGATCTGACTGACATCAGGGAGCAACCAAAGAAACGGTCACACATGGATGATAGCAGCAGTTGGGACATAGTGAAGGCATCACAGTAAGTAGTGGAACATGTCATTTCTAATATTTTGAACACTACACCAACTGAGAAACACTGAGATTTGGGACTAGAAACTGTCTTTTAGAGCCTTAGATTTGTTCTGTTTTACTAGTATTAAGCACAGGTGTATAGATGAGTTTTGCCTGTAAAGAGGCTCATGGACCTCTCAAATGGGTGAGGTCATGACAGAGAGCATCTTCAGCATAGTTATCAGCAGCTGGAACATCTCAAAGATGAGAGCAAACCTCACTCCTGAGCATGTCTACTACAGGTGGGAATTCGTGAACTGTATCATCTGTAAACTTTGGAAACTTGTACTTTTGTACTGGAAAATAAAATCTTTTTGATTTAATTTGGAGCTTTGTTTGAACTTATGGACAGAAGCTATTTTTAGTTTCATATTTGCACGTGTGTTTTGTTTGTTTGTTTGTTTGTTTTTCAAATTTATATTCAAATTCATATGTTTCCTGGGTCATTATTTTAATTTGCTGCGGGACAAGACAACAGGGTCATATTCACCATTGGGAAGACTGAGCAGGTGAGGTACTGGAGCCTAAAATAGGTTTGCCCACAGGAAGCGAAGATAAGAGTTATTAAAATAATCGCTGACTAATCGACTAATCAAAGAAGAATTGGCAGATTAGTCCACTAACAAAATAATCTTTAGTTGCAGTCCTAAAACAGAGCAGCAAATCTAGAACAAAAAGATAAGAAGATAAAGACAAAGGTGTTGCAATGACCCGGTCAAAGTTCAGACCTTAGTGCTGTGCTGGGACTTTAAGAAACCTGCCTGCAAAACTCAATGACCTAAAGAAATGCTGGAAAGAAGACAAATGTTGCCAAATGTTGTTCAAATTATTGGCGCTAAAGGTGTTTCTACAAGCTACTGAATCATGGGGTGGGCCTAGTTTTTCACAGGACTGCACAGAGCCCTGTGAAAACTTTCTTTCTTTCATGACTCTAAATATATGGTAATATTGATAATTGTAGGCTTGTTTTCAGCTGTTCGTAATCTTTGTTTATGATATAATGTAGAACAAGATATAGCATGTGTTAGTTTATATCCAATTTAGAAATGTAAAGAATTGATGCACTTGTTGATGTACTTTAGTTTTTTTGAGATAAGTACATGTAAGGATTTGCAGCTAACTGAAGTGCTAATGATCAGTTAGTAGAGGTAAATAAAAGCAGAATTCACTCACGCTGTTTAAGCCGGGGAACAATAGAAAAAAAACAATAGAACCGCTTCTATTTATCTAACCATGACTTTGTAGGAATAAGTATGTGTATACGGGGTTTTTTTTTGTCTTCCACATTCTAAAAGTCCTTCTTGAGGAACTTGCTTTTCCAGGTCACATTGTACTTTTAGTTCTCTAACATATTTTATCTACATTTGTTGCATCTCCTCAGTTTATCTGTAGCTTGGATTTAATGTGATTGCAGAGCACTATGTGGTCATGATCAACATGATTGATTGCTGAGGTTGTGTGTGTGTGTGTGTGTGTGTGTATTTCCCGCAGGTTTGGAATCCTGGAGCGCTGTAAGGAGCTGGTGGAAGCTGGATATGACGTCAGGCAGCCAGACAAAGAGAACGTCACTCTGCTGCACTGGGCTGCTATCAACAACCGCTTAGAGCTGGTCAAGTAAGGCCTTTAGATCTCATCTCAGTCTGACAATGAAAAGAAAGAAAGAAATGGAAATCTGTTTTGTGAACACAACTACTGCAAATGACCTATCACAACACACCAAATCAGGGGGTATAATTATTAATTCTAGACAATTTCTATACATAAAAAAATACTACAATTGTGACAAATGATCAGTTTGCATTTTATATATAACCAACACAGGCTTTCTTTTGGCACTTAAGTTTATGAATAATAATGCAAATAATTAACAAATAGTAGCTAAACAAAAACTGAAAACCAGGGAGACAAATAAATGAATACAAATAATAAAAAACCCACAAAATATTTTGAAGTATGATCTTTACATCTGTTCTCTTTTGTTTTCTAACAGGTATTATATTTCCAAAGGGGCAATAGTAGACCAGCTGGGCGGAGACCTGAACTCTACTCCACTTCATTGGGCCATAAGGTGACTATATGGCTGTGCACGATATAGAGCTGGGTTGGGCTGCTTTGCTTTGTTTTGCATATGCATTATTTTACTTTAGTTTTGGTTTACCAGCAACCACTGGTTAAAGTTTACCTGCATTAGAAGAGATTATGCACTTTGGCAGTGTGTCCTCAATGAGGCTACGTAACTGTTTTACAACTAGTCTGCTGGGTTTTTTAAGACTTGTCCATTATTATGTTTTTGTTTGAATGACCAGACAGGGCCACCTCCCCATGGTAATCCAGCTAATGAGATATGGAGCAGACCCCTCTGTTGCAGATGGAGAGGGCTACAGGGCCCTCCACCTTGCTATTCTCTTCCAACACATGGCAATAGCAGCTTATCTTATAGCTAAGGGACAGGTCAGACATACACATCACTTTATACCCCACTCTTTCTCTCTGCAACACTTCTGTTTTCACTCTTTCTCTGATTACATTTGCTTCTCACTTTGCGCAAGTTGTGGTTTTGTGTCTCAATTTCTCCATTGCCTCCAGGAAGTTGATGGGCCTGACTGCAATGGACAGACGCCGCTAATGTTAGCAGCACAGAAGATTATCGGGTAAGGCCTCTTTCTCTTTTTTAACCCCAGTGCTTTGATTGCTTGTCTTGTTAAGAAATGAAGTATAGTTTGTTAGCATAATCCTTTTTTTCTGATTGCTAAAAGTATTCTGATAGTATCTAAATGTGCTGTCCTTTCTGTCACAGGCCTGAACCAACAAACTTTTTAATCAAAAATAATGCCTCCGTGAGCGCTGTGGACAAAGTCAACAGGAACACTCCACTGCACTGTGCTGTGCTGGCAGGAAATGTAGATGCTGCCCACATCCTGCTGGAGGCTGGGGCCAGTGTGGAAGCAGAAAACATAAACGTGAGCTTCAATAAATTCAAACACTTTTTCTTTTCTTTTTTTTTACATTATTGTGAGTGCATAATGTTGGAATACATAAACAGAATATTATTCTTATTAACCTTTAACTGTAAAAGGCTAAATGGGTAATGTCATCACCCTGTTGGTCAGGCAGGCAAGCGGTGAGGTGGGCGCGTGAAGACTTAAGTTCGTGAAAGCGATAACTCGAGAACGAGGCAATGTAGGAGTTTCGAATTGATCCCACAGGCGCAGCTACTGTCATATGAGTTTAAATCCTGATGATAAAGTCAATGTTCAGAGGTCATGTTTTCTAGGAGACGTAGGATTTTGAACTGGATACTCTAGGTGTATATTCTAGGAGCACACTGTTTTGTTTTTCAGCTGAATGTGTTTGCTTAATCTCTGCATGAGCGCTTTGTTCACTATTAAGTAAGTAAGCCATCTTAGTAGATTGGGCCAAGTAACAGGTACACCTTGCTTTCATCATTATTCAGCTCTAAATGATTGCATATGAAATAATGAATAGGCAATGCACAGTATTCCTACAGTATTCCATTAAGTGTTGATGCCCACTATAATGAAGTCTGAGTTGCTGAGCTCACTAAAAAAACAAGATTTTCTTGGAAAATGCACTGAGTAGTATTGCTCACTCCATGTCTCTGAATAGCTTTGCATGTATGTGCAGACTGACAATAAATAAGCTGTTTCTTGATTCATTTACTACAATAGAAGTATGTCCTTAAACTTGAGTTTAACACAAGTTAAACTTGGGTTTTTTGCACTGCGTTTGACAATAGAGTTCATGTACTCAGCGTAAACAGTCAGTTATAAGAACTACAATTATACCCACGTTTGAACTGAATCAGTGAATAATTTTTTCATGGGGTTCTTAATGTTCTTCTTCAGGGTCACACACCCATCGACTTGGCTCACCAAGTGCACAGCCCGTTGCTCATGCACATGCTCAATCAGGTCAAACGGGAGAGGCTTCGTTCCAACTCTCGCTGCCTGCGAGTTGTGAACAGATACAGGGTACGTTTGTCTCAAATAACACATTTTTAGCAGTCTACAGTGACTCTTCTAAAGGAATCCTCTCCCTGTATTTCCCAGGTGTTTCTGCAGTTTTTACTCTGCACGGCTTTGTTTGGAGGTGTTGGTGCAATAGTGGATATGAACTCAGAATCCTGGTTACTCAAAGGTATCCTGTTGGCCTGTGTGATAGGTGTGATTAATCTGGCTACAAGGTGAGGATACACTTCCACTGATTCACGAATGTACTCTACTGTTATTAAAACCTGTGTTATTGATTTAGTAATGAATGTTTGCATGAAACAGGAATTTCCCGGGCTCAGACTTTCAGTCCAACCTACAAGCTTCAAGTCTCATGGCTTCAATCTTTTGGATGCTTGTCACCTGGTGCCTCTGGTTTATGCCAGATATCCTTTGAAAAAACGAAACCACACCTTAAAGCATTTCCTTTGGGAGAAGCAAGTCAGTACCAGATGAAAAACATAAGCAAGACTCATGAATGCACTTGATGGATAATGCTTTTAAACCGGAAGATTCTCTGATAGTGTGTGTTTTGTTTTTTTCTTTCTGTTGTAAGAGCGATGCATAGTTTTATCATCAGTAAAGAGAAACAGATCTGTCATTGGAGGCCAATAAATTAGGCAACTGGGTTTCATTCATATTCTGATGACAAACTGAACAGAGACCTTCTTAACTTGAAACTCCACATCAGCCTAGTGCCACAGTACAGGTACTGTTCACTCTGAATGCCACTGCTTTACTCTACTACTACCTCCGCACCTGCAGGACGGACCCCGGCTTCATCAGAGCAACTGAAGAGGAGAAAAAAATGGTGAGAAGGACAGAGTTCAGAAGCCAAATAAGGCAATATTCTAGGTAAATGTTTTACATGGAGCTGAGCTATGTTTTGTTCCTCTGTGTTGACAGAATGTGTTGGTGTTGGCTGAAGCCGGCTGTCTGGACCCCAGGATATTGTGCACCTCTTGTATGGTAAGGCCACTGACCCGCAACCACCTCTTTAATAACAATGCACCATTAGCACTGTGACAACCAATACTATTTTATACCATGTGTTTTTACAGATAAAGAAGCCAATGAGAGCCAATCACTGCTTCAGCTGCGATGCCTGTGTGGCCAAGCAGGACCACCACTCAATCTGGACCAACAGCTGCATTGGTAACACACAAGCCTGTTCGTAACTTTCAAATTACACAACAGCAGGAAGAACTGTCAAACACGAAGACAAAGCTGAGCAAGTCATGTCTTATTTAGGAGGTCTAGTATATCAAGACTTAAGGCCTGCATTAAAAAAACTAGACAGTATTTTTCCTGAAGATAAAGTGCTCTGATCCCTAGTCATTCAAATTATTGGAGAGCATAATACTTTCCCATAAATGTCCAGTAAAGTGACTGGATTTATTTTGACGCACTGCTACTAAATTATCACCTTTTATAATTTTTTGCATCTTTTAAGTTAATCTGATTATTTTCTTTTCCCCAGGTGCGAGGAACCATCACTACTTCATCCTCTTTCTGTTCTCCCTCGTGCTGATGGGAGCCTGGATGTTGTACGGCTGTGTCATGTGTGAGTTCTGCAACAGCTAGTGTAGCCACGCCATCTGACACGCTATGACCTTTACCCTGGATGAACATGCCTGTGTATGTTTCTTTCAGACTGGTCCGCTCATTGCATGCTGCATTACGAGCAGCAGGGCCTATGGGGTACCTTCTCTGGCCTGATAGGGTGCTCTCCCTGGCTGCTCTGCATCTTCGTCCTGGTCGTCTATCATACAAGTTGGTCTACTTTGACCCTGCTGCTGCAGCTCTACCAGGTGACTCGCTGCTTGGAGTTTCTTAATGGGGTTCTAAGGCTCTGTATATCATATGGATCGTGTTCACTGTCACCAAAATTAGACAGAACATACATATTGCATTTTCTGTAAATGTTTCAAAATAGGGCATTAGTTGGCAGAATTCAACATAAATTACTACAAATTCTGTGTTTTGGGTGAGACCAGAGAAAATTTAAAATATAGATGGAAATATTCAGCTTTGGCCTTCACAAAAGTCTTTAAATTTTACCCCGAGCTTAGTTCTTTGTTTTTCTTGCTCTAACAAACAACATACCTTATTGTGACTCTGTGTGTGTGTATGTGTGATCAGATTGCATTCCTGGGACTGACGACAGTAGAGCGAACAAATCTAACACATCGCCAGAGGAAACTCGGACAACCTGTCTCTCTGAGACAAAATCCATTCAAGTGAGTTGCATGTAGTGCTTCTTGTCTTTATCGTATAACTTGTATATCTTGATATTTACAAATTGTTTGCTTAGTTGTCTGTAGCATGCCATGGGCTCTTTAGGATTTACTGGCAAATCATGTGTTGTGCGTTTTGTTTTGTTTTTTAACCTAAACTCATAGTTTGTTGTCGGTCAGCTAAGTCACTTTTCCCTGATTCTGTGTTCATAGTTTGGGCGTGGTGAGGAACCTGGTGTCGTTCTTCCAGCTCCGCTGTTGTGGACTCTTCAAACCGGTCATCATTGACTGGACGCAGCAGTTCCAACCTGGCCACCAGCATGTGTTCGGACACACCGACATGGTCTGACCTCCTCCACGCTCAGGGTCAAGGGTCAGACTCTGGACCAAAAGCACAGACATTTATTTATTGTTTTTTAATGTGGTGGCTCCTTGTGGAAAGAGACTGCAATACTCAGAATTGGGAAAACACAAAGAAACATGTAGATATTTGATTCAGTTGCTGTTTGTACAGACTGCTGCTGCCTTATACTTGACCAGTGTAAGTAAAGGGAAAATAACAGAACCTTTAGAGGCCTACCTGTGATGGAGGTTTTGTCCTGTTTTTATGAACACATTAAAACTATTTTTACTATCTGTTCAGAAAAGAAGAATTAGACTTTGTATGTGTGGAAAATTTGGTTTTATGACTTTTGTAAAAATTGCATGCATTTAATACAAATGACCACTATAAAACTTCAATAAAACAATGTTGTGCCTGTCTTTTTAACTGGTTCTGAGTGGATTTGGGCCTCTGAGTACAGCAGGGGATGATGAACAAAACAAAGAAACAAAAGAAAAGGAGAAACAGGTCAATACTTCCAGGGTTTTGTGAGGAAAAATTAAGAACACATCAATCTAATTTAAACCAGAATTTCCAAAGTGTTTGTTGAAAGACTAGATTTTTATTTCTCTGAGCCAAAAATCTTTTCACACTGCTCCTAATCATTTGTTTGAGTTCTGTTTTGTTTGTGTGTTTTTTTTTTTTTACTTTACAAGCTGTTTAATTTAGTGGTTACCTTGGAGTTTTGATTTTACAGTGCAGATATTCTATATACTATTTAAAAACTACCACCACAGAAAAGAGAAATGCTGGATAAAGTTGGTGGAAATTTTTGGTTACGCTAGTTTGTAAATTTAAAAAGAAAGTTGAATACTACTAATCAAATCTTGAAGATTAATGCTTGCATGTATTTTAATATTGTATTTGTTGAGCCTAATGGCAAATACTTTAAAGTCATTTAACATTTCTTTACTTTCTAATTAACTTATTTTGACAGTTTTAGTCCTCCTTATTTTCAGAGATCACAAGCATGAATGAATATCTGCAACAAACTGAACAAACTGAACACTATCAGCTAGTTTCCAGACATGGATTAATCCTCATCATAGACTTCAAAAAAACAGTCTGGTAATGGTAAATGGACTGGTTCTTATATAGCACTTTTCTACTCTGTCTGAACACTCAAAGCGCTTTATACAACTAATTCATTCACACAAGCACTTTTTCTAAGCTGTTAAGTGCTGAGTATCTAACATTCATACACATTCACACTCCGATGGATGCATCGGAGAGCAACATGGGGTTAGTATCTTGCCCAAGCATGCAGATTGGAGCAGCCTGGGATCGGACCCCTGACCCTGCTCTGCCACCTGAGCTACAGCCACCCCGAAAGAATGCTTAAATAATTATGTCCGAGAGCCTTCTCACGTTTACTGCAGGTTACAGGTATTTGTCTATGTGTGCATGAGGGTGGGAATGCACGTTTGTGTCTGTGTGTGTACCTGTTTGTCTGTGTCTAAATGTCAGGTTGGGTCTTAGGCTCCACCCCTCTGGGAACATCTCAGGCCCTCCAAGGTATGGAGGCCTATCTCCCCTCACCACACTCCCTGCTGGGTGACCCCTTGTCTGGGGCTCTCCTCAGCTCTTCCCAGGAGGGTGGCACAGTTGCCCCTCCAATGGTCCTCCTTGGGCTCTCACACTCTGGGCCTGGATCTCCTTCATGCCTGTTTCATGACCTCTGGGACGAGGCTGTAGCTACCCACACCCTCTAGCAGCAGAAACACAGTTACGAGGAGAAACCTTTAGAGTACAAGAGTACTCATCCACGCATATGTGCACACAGATATACGCATGGGTGTTCACAGACACAAACTACACCTTTCTTGGCTGCTACCTCAAAGCCCATTGTGTGCTCTTGATGTTGCGTGCTGCACAATAAAATTCAGTGTTAGTATCTACTGTTATTTACTCTTAGCTAGATTATTGCGATGGTGTTGTGTTTATTATGTTGCTCTCTCACTGTCTCTCTTCCCGTCTGTTTTTCTTTCCCTCCCTCTCTTTGTCAGGTGCCCATGTGTTTTTTGGCTATGAAAGTTGTCGGGTATGGAAGTACAAAGGCAGCTTCTCGGGGAGGTCGTCGGGTATGTAAGTACAAAGGCAGCCTCTCGGGGAGGTCGTCGGGTAGGGGCGGGTTTTTATAATCGATTTATCGATTAAAATCGATTCTGGCTTGGATAAGGTAAAATCGATTCATTAAAATCCTGAATTTATTTTTTAATATAAATTTATTTTGCCCAAAATGCCAGAATCTCTGGTGAAATCTCACAAAATTTCAACAACCACCAAACAGCTAAGACAGTAAATGAGAGCAGGTACACGGATTCTGCACATAGACTTAAACACACAGCGCAACCCGCTGTGTGTTGCGCTGCGGGTTTCTCACGGTCGGGGCTGAAAGCCGACAGCTCGCTGATTTTGAAGCATCGGCGGGTCGAGCTTTGTGTTTACGTCCTTTTTGCGCTGATTCTAAAGCTGTTAGTTTGATGTCTCTCCAAACAATATTGACTGAACCAGCAGCAAAAGAAGATCCAAACTATGCTTCACATAAACATCGTCATGTATTCACTCTGACTTGCTGTTTTGCTTCTACCACGATGCACAGCTCTCTCTCTCTCTCTCTCTCCCTCTCTCTCTCTCTGTACTGTTTTCTTCATTATTCGCTTGCTTGTTACGCACAAGTCTACCATTGTTTACAGCGCTGTCGGCCGACGTTTTTTTTTTTCGTTTTATATACTTCCGAAAAGAAAACCTAATTTCTGCCGTTCAATACTGAACAAATTTAAAAATTATGCAAAATGCAAAACGCTCAGCCATGTCTCTAATAAAACCGCTGTAACGTCAGAGGTAACATTCATGTGTTGATTAATAGTTTTCTTTAGTTTTTGATGTACTGCAGAATATTTTTATAAAATCCCAGAAAAATCACCTTCATGTTTTTCTGTTTTATCCTCAGCTACTTTGACACAAAGGCATCTGCTGTGATGTTATCACCTTTGATAAAGTCTTGCGTGTGTCAGCTTCCTTTTTATAGATACAAAAATATGTAAATGTACTGATCTGAATTATAATACTTCTGACTGTCAAAATTTCCCAGATTCAAATCGAAGTGAATCAAATCGAATCGAATTGAATTAAATCGAATCGCGGATCGAATCGATTCGATTCGGGATCTTGTGAACCGGAATTGAATCGATTCTAGAAATCAGTGACGATACCCAGCCCTATTGGGTTGTCGGGTATGAGAGTATAAAGGCAGCTTCTCGGGGAGGTCGTTGGGTATGAGAGTATAAAGGCAGCTTCTCGGGGAGGTCGTGGGGTATGAGAGTATAAAGGCAGCTTCTCGGGGAGGTCGTTGGGTATGAGAGTATAAAGGCAGCTTCTCGGGGAGGTCGTCGGGTATGAAAGTATAAAGGCAGCTTCTCGGGGGGGTCGTCGGGTATGAAAGTATAAAGGCAGCTTCTCGGGGGGGTCGTCGGGTACGAAAGTATAAAGGCAGCTTCTCGGGGAAACTTCTTCAGTGGCGACAGTAGGGAGCCTCTTCAGTTCTCTGTTCAGAACCGAAGAAGCTTCTCGGATGATAGGTGAAACGTCTTCAAGCAACTTAAAGAAGTCCAGACGCTTTTCTTTACAAGCTCCTTTGACTACGATGACCTGGATGACTGAGAACCTTCACAGACAGTAACATCTGTCTGCTGTGAGGAAGTGACATGAACACATTCCATCTGTGTCACTAGCTCACCCCCAACCAGTCGCGGCAGATGGCTGCCCTTTCCTGAGCCTGGTTCTGCCGGAGGTCTCTGCCTGTTAACACGCAGTTTTTCCTCCCCACTGTCGCCAAGTGCGTGCTCATAGGGGGTCCTCGGATTGTTGGGTTTCTCTGTAATATTGTAGGGTAGGGATGCACCGATACCGATATCGGTATCGGCCTCGAT